GGAAAAATTAGTGGGAGCGGAGCATCCACCGGCGCTAAGCTCCCCTCTCTACCCTCCTCTCCCCGCACCTCTCGCGCACCAGCAACCCCACGCTTACCATCTCCTCCTTCTCCTTCCCAGCACTTCCAGAGCTCCGCGAATAGCTGATTCGCGGCATTCAAGCTCTGGGAGGAAGTGGGAGGACCTGGGGCTGGCAGCTGGAGGGCCACGCTGGCTGCAAAGCCTGGGAGTGCTGCAGCGCACACACACCCCCGCACCTCTACTTCCTGTACCTATGGAGACCCACTGGCACTCTGCATTGACCTCCTGTGGTTCGGCGAATTCTTTGGTTCGGCACCAGTCGGGTCCTGAGGGTGCTGGACTAGAGAGGTTCAACCTGTAGTAATACAGCTCTACCCCGATATAATGCTGTCCTTGGGAGCCAAAAAATCTTACCGTGTTATAGGTGAAACTGCATTATACCGAGCTTGCTTTGATCCACTGGAGTGCCCCCTCCCCCCCCGCCCCAGCACTGCTTTACCACGTTATATCTGAATTCATGTTATATCGGAGTAGAGGTGTATTTCCTATAGAAGTAGGTTATGCTTCAGGAATTTGATTATAATGAAGTGGTTGAACAACACTCTTCTAGAAAAAGAAATAAGTACAAATATGAACTCTTCCTGTACGATTCAGAGCTCTCAGTAGCCTATTCTGACACAAATAGAGAGAAGACAAAATATCTTCAGTAAAGCAGATGACAGTATCACTTCCAGTCAGGAGAACTGGTGTTTTTTGTTTGTTTTTTTTACAGCCTGTGCCATTTAACAAAAACAAGGAATAGAAATTTAATAACTAATATAATAAGTCTGTGACATAGATTAGTGTACTGTGTCATTTTGATTTTGCCTGTGCATAGCATCTGCTTGTGGATAATATGAAATACTCCACTAAATTCTGTTTAGTTAATAGCAGTATACGTTCGAGATAGTTCACAGAAGTCAAAGGAGTTAGTCTAGTTTTATGCTGGTGTAACTGAGGCCTTGTTTACATGTTAAAATGGAACTATTAATGACCACAGTTAACATTTGCTGCTGAACTGGTGCTAAACATGGTTTAAATGTAGACAAGGACAAACTGTATTTATCTCCATTTCAGCTAAACGTTGTTAAACCCTACTTTTAGATGTTTGCTGAGATTTGTTTTTTTCCAGAGTGTTTAGGCTACTCCAGCAGCATAAATAGGGCAGAAGTAGCTCCTGGGGAATAATTGAGACAGAGAGGGCTTCTTCAGGTGGCCTCGTGCTGCAAGAATAGTTCTATACTGCCTCCCTCGCAATCCGGAGTCTAGTCTTGTTACCCAGGGTTTTCAGAACCTTTGCTTTTTGAAAGCCAATTATGTGGTGTTTTGTTTTATTAATTTAGGGTGGCTGAATGCACATAATATGATTGCAATTAGCTTGATTCTGTTCTGGGGTATACACACCCCAGGGCAATAGTCTAACTTACATTATGGGTCAAAGTGGCAGCCAGATGGCCTAAGAATACAGGAGGCACAAAAATGTGTTGAAGCCACCTTTGTCCCCCATCCCTGTTCCTGTATGGCTGCAGCCAAGAACTGGTCTCAGATATCAGATATTAAATAGTGTTCAGATAATAGGTTTTTTCAGTTCCACCTGTAGTACTGGGCTTGGGGGGTGGTGTGCATGTTCATATATGAGAATTGGGAAAACAGAAGAATGCCTGTGTGACGGTAATTTAAAATGAAGTAAACCCCCTCTGTCTTATTCCAAAAGTTCACGTGTATAGGAAAGTCAATATGATAAGCCTGTTTTCACATCTGTAAATCTTTTTGTTGTCCTTATTTTCAACCTGGCCTCTGTTTTTGTGTGCACAACTTGGTATACACAAGTGATAGAATTTGCATAAAACTCACTGGGTTTCGTGTGTGAATTATATCACAGACACAAAGAGGAGCTAGTACTTATGTATATGTATGTGCATAGGTCTTCTGATGTGGCTGTGTGTGCACAAATGAAAGCCACTTTTGCAAATTTGGTCCTTTGTGTCTATTAAACTAAAGCAAGGAAACTGTAATGAAAACCAAGCATGAACTATCTTCCAGCTAGTTTGCACATGTAGTGTATTGTCGCAAAAACAAATACCACGGTCTGCGGTTGGTGAATGTCTTTTAAACAAATAAATAGGCACTTAGAACGATAGCCATTTAAAAATGAGATTAGTTAAAAAACCTACATCTCTGCTTTATTTGTGTACTTACAATTACTTTTAACATGCTTTTTTTGGATGTGACATACTGGTAAGAATGTGTGTAGTCATGAATTTGACAGTGCTGCTATAATAGGCAGGATAAGGAAGGGGCCAGCAGTGGATCGTAAGGCAAAGGGGATTATAAATCTAATAAAAAGTTGATAAGAAGCCTCCTTTTAGGGGTCTGTGCTGAACTCTTAGTGAAGACCCAGGAGGTCTCTCTGGTGATAACTATGCTTGAGAGAGGCAGACAGCAGTTTAGAATTCATTTTAATAGCACAAATCTTTAAACTAAAAGTGGACTTGTCCTTTGACTTGACCTGTTTTGCTAATCCCTGTGCGAACCAAATCTTACAGAGTTATTTTTTCCAACTGAAGCAAGAGTCTAAATGTTAATACAGTTTGGCTAGAAGTTTGCACTGAATTAGATGACATCATTCTTCCCATGGCAGCTCCCTAGCTAGATGACCATTTCATCAGGTTGGACGATCAGTGAATCTGCTTTCTGATTATTTATTTTTAATCCACAACAGTAGACAAATCTATTTACAATCTTTAGACACTCTGTTGCAAATGATCACTTAAAAATATTCACGGTAATTTAATACTCCCAGAAGTTGCTGGACTCACAGGACGGTAGAATAAAAGCCCCTCCGGTTGTTAACAGAAAAGGTGCAGCACAGGCGCTGGTCATTCAGACTTCTCTATTAGAAAAAAAGGAATCCCTTTGCCCATTCAGTCCTTGGTTTCTGACGAGTCTGCCGACAAAAGGCCCCATTACTGCCAAATATCTTTAAAGGGGCACCGTCATCAAAATTTGGACAAAATTCACATTGTAAAAACTAACTTCCATGAAACCGGAGATTACTAGTAGTATTTCTACAATGTTTTAAATCATTAACAAATAAACATCACCTTGAAGTGTTTGAAACATGAACACTGCAGCACTAACAACCTGAAAGTAAAACTGAATATACATAAAGGATAACTGACATTACTGCATTTCACTAGCCAATCTAAGAGAAATTCAGGAAGTAAATAAAGAACCGAAATAAGTAAATTGAATTTTTAAAATTCTTAACTTTAAGGGTCGCATTGTTACTATAATTAATGACTGTGTTTATTTATAACAGATGTTTTAAGTTGAAAATGTCTAATACATGGTAGAAATCTGAATTTTGCTTTTCTTATTAATTTAATAAAACAGTGCATTTCTAGATTTACTGTAGACTGTTATTTTATAACATTAGTGAAGATAATTGGTTGTTTTATTTACCGCAGCTTTACTCTCATTTTACATTGGTGCTACTCCAAAGTATGTAACAATCCAATGGAGATACTCCAGCATAAAACATAAAAACCGTAGAATCAAGCCCACTTAATTTAGGAGCAGAACCAGACCATGGGCCTATCTTGTGCTTGGAACTATTTGATTAATTTTCCCTATTCTGCATATGTCTTATGTGTTTTGAAACTTTAAAATAAAACCTGTAAATTTTAAGCGGTAACTATATTTCACACTGCTTGTACGTAAGGGGTATAAAACAGTTTAACATACAAGATCATAGGGTTAGCAAGTATATTCCAGCTCAGCGCTAATTCATTGTTACATTGCACAATCCCATCAGTGGAAACTATTGGAGTTTAAAAACTAAGGGTCAAATTTGAATAGATATTTAGGTTCCTTAAGGTGCAGATAGGGCCCAACTGGGATTTGCAAAAGCACCTAACTTCCATCAAAATCAATGGGAATTAGGCACCTAGATGGGATTTAAAATCCCAGTAAGTGCCTATTCTTCACTTCAGACGCCTAAACACCTTTACGTATCTGGCCTGAATATACTTGTGTCAGGAGATTTCCATGAACTGAGTCTCACAGCAAGAGTCTTTATTGTTAAAATGACTTCTCCTAATTTTATTCTGCATCCAGAGGAAAAGTCTTGTATTAAGTACTTGAAATGATTTTCCCTTCTTTCCTGTTATTCATCCCAACCTCACTCATTCCACCTTGTATCATTTTTAAGAGTCTTGCTCAGTATTGTTGCTTGTTTTACAGAAAAACAGAAATGTTTTGTGTCCAAGTGGGACATCAGATATTATTGTCCAGTATTACTATAATCACAATAACAAATACAAATAACACAGATGGGACTTTAAAGGTTACCATAAAACTGATCCAAAGTGAACAACACTACCAAAAAAAATCACGCTGCAGTACACAATAAAGATGCTCCCTTCACACAGAAGTGTTTTGACCGAAATCCAGTATTACTGTTTTACACATCTTTGTAATTGCATAACCAATGTACCACGTTGTAAAAGTGCCATTTTTTAAACTATTCTTAAGACACGACCTTTTGATGAGAATTGTACCTTGCAAATATTAATTTTTGGATTTAAAAATACCAGCAAGTCTGCAAGTCATTTTCCCTCGAACAATGTGTCCTTTATGCACGCTCTGCTTTTTAACTCTTTCCTTACCTCCCAAATACTCTAGTATGCAAATAAATAGAGACATGTGAAAGACTTTGTAATGCAGAAAAAAATGCTATTTTAATGGAAAGTATAATTACCTAATTGTTATACTCATCAGGTGCATAATGGTAATTTACTAAGTCGTTAATACTGAATAGTGATGGAGAACGAGAATCAAGATTTAAGCTCATTTACATTTCATTTTGTACACACAGTTTTTCTTTTCAAGTATACTCTGATTTAAAAGTGGTTCTTTTCTCTTTTCCCTTTCTGTAGTTATTCGAGATTACCGTGCCGCTGTCTCATGGCCCTAAACCTGTAACAGTAAGTTTTGCTAATCATACGTCGTGCCGATGCATGTCTAAGCTGGATGTTTACAGACAAGTTCATTCAATCATTAGACGCTCCTTGCCAGCCACGCAACCACAGTAAGTATATGAGTTGCATATTTCCTTATGCCTTATCATAAAGCCTGTACAATAGGTTACTATTTGTTGTGGTAATTCAGGCAATAGAACTTGGTTAATTGGTGAATAGTAATATGCATTTCCCTCAAGAACAGCTTTAGGAAATAGACTAATAAGGAAAATATATCATTCTTCATTGTTTTACATGGGAGGAGTCCTATTCGTGGTGTTAGCAGAGTACATTTAAGCAATGATGTAATCTAGGGGGCTGAACTCACTGTCACTAAAATCAAAGGGCGTTTTGCCATTGACGTCCATGGGAGGAGGATTGCAATGCAGTGTTGTAGTGCAGCTTTTGATTTTTAAATAAAACTAGTTTATAAAATGACTATATATGATCAAATCATAAAGTACCACACAGTTAGGGTTATGACTAGTCCCGAATCAGCCAAATCATGGACTTGCTTATTCATTTTAATAATCATTATAATTTTCTTTACAAAGCATCACGCTGCAAAAGCAGTCAGGTTGCCGAACAACAGTCAAAACTATTTTTCATTCATTAGTATCAGAACAATCTACCTCATTGAAATTACAGACATGGTAGGTAAACAAAAACAAAACAATAAATTGCACTCACTTTTTTCTCAGGAAAAAGAAAAGGAGGACTTGTGGCACCTTAGGGACTAACAAATGTATTTGAGCATGAGCTTTCGTGAGCTACAGCTCACTTCATCGGCAAACTCCCACTGATTCCAGTGAGCGTTTGTCTACGTGTAGACTGAGCATGGACCTCAGAATTTAACAGAATACAGTTACTGTACCTGAAAACAGTGGTACCATGCTGAACAACTCCAGAAATGATTTGAACCATAAAAGGAATATAAAATAGCCTATTTAAGAAAAATTAAATATAGACAGAATGTGAAAAATAAGGCACCCATTTAACATAGCTCTATAAGTACCAGTCAACATTTCTATTACAACCTCTGCTTGTCTACATTCCTTTGCTGTAATGCCTACAAAAAATTGACAGTGGTTAGGCTGCTGGCGTGCTGAGACCACAGCCCATCGTGCTGAACAATATTATCTCATTGTTTACTTGTATCCCCCAACTGGCTGTATCCATCTGTCGTCTCTTGCTTATACTTAGATCATAAGCTCTTTGGGGCAGGGACTAGTCTGGCCCATGACTGAGGCTCCTGGGTGCTATGAGAATACAAATCATAAATTATAAGATTCGTGGAGTATAAGGCCAGGAGGGATCACTGAGATCATCTAGTCTGACCTCCTGCATAACACAGGCCCTTGGACTTCCTGTTTGTATGTTTTTCTAAAAGGTTATGTTCTAGTTCAATCTTGAATTAAAAATTGCCAGTGATGGAGAATCCACCACAATGCTTGGTAAATTGTCCCAATGACTGATTACCCTCTCTGTTAAAAATGTTGCATGTTATTTCCAGTCTGAATTTGTCTAGCTTCAACTTCCACCCATTGGATCTTGTTATACCTTTCTCTGCTAGATTGAAGAGCCCTCTATTATCAAATTTCTGTTCTCTATGTAGGTACTTACAGACTATGAGCAAATTATCTCTTAACCTTCTCTTTGATAAACTGATCAGATTTCGCTCTTTCTCACTAGGGTCTATCTATACTGCAGTTGAAGAAAGTGATTGAAGAAAGTGATTGCCTCTCAGGTAGACATACATGCGCTAGCTTTAACCTAGCTAGCATAGCTAAAATAGCAGTGAAGCCACACCAGCGCAGACTAGGAATGCAAGCACTTACCTAGGGTTCCAAGCGGGCCTGTACAGCCCATGCTGAAGCCCACACTGCATGGCTGCACTGTTGTTTTTAGCTGTGTTGGCACACCTGAGTTGCAATCACACCTTTTATTGTAGTGTTTTCCAATTGTTTAATTATTCTCTTGGCTCTTTTCTAAATCTTCCCCAGTTTGTCAACCTCCTTCTTGAATTCTAGACACAGTACTGCAGCAGCAATCACACTAAGGCCAAATAAAGAGGTGTATAACCTCTACTCTCACTTGATATTCCCCTGTTTATACATCCAAGGATCACATTAGCCCCTCTGGCCACAGCGTCACACTGAGACATCTTGTTCACCTGATTATCCACCATGAGCCCCAAACCTTTTTCAGTATTGCTTCCCAGGATTGTCCCGTCCCCCCATTCCAGTAAGTATGGCCTACATTCTTTCAATTTAGATGTATGATTTTACATTTGACCATATTGAAACACATATTGTTTTCTTGGACCCAGTTTATCAAGTGATCCAGATGGCTCTGTATACATTACTTGTCCTCTTCATTATTTCTCACTTCCCCAATCTTTGTATCATCTGCAAATGTATTAGTAATGATTTTGTTTTCTTCCAGGTAATTGATAAAAGTCTGAAATAGTGCAGGGCTAAGACCCAATCCCAGCAGGACCTCCCTAACCACACCCACCTAATGATGATTCCTCATTCACAATTGCATTTTGATACCTCTCAGTTAGCCAGTTTTAATGTGTGTTATGTTGATTTTATATCATTCTAGTTTTTTTATTCAAAGTGTTGTAAGGTACCAAGTCAAATGCCTTTCAAAAGTGTAAGCATATTACATCATCACTATTGTCTTTATCAATCAAATTTGTAAACTCATAAAAATACCAAGTTACCTTCAACTGACCTGGTTTTCATAAACTCATGTTGATTGTCATTAATTATATTACCTTGCTTTAATTCTTTATTAATCAAATCCCATATCAACCATTCCATTATTTTGCCAAGGACAAATTTGTAATTACCTGGGTCATCCTATTTAGCCTTTTTAAATATTCATGCAACATTTGCTTTCTTCCAGTCTTCTGGAACTTCCCCAAGACTTATAGACAATCAACATTAATGGCCCAGAGAGCTCCTCAGCCAGCTCTTTTTAATACTCTCAGATTCAAGTTATCCAAACCTGCTGATTTAAAATGGTCTAATTTTAGCAGCTGTGTATAACATCCTTCTGAATTACTATTGAAATGGAAAGTGTTTCATCATCACCACATGAATACTTCATCTGGCTTTCCCAAATGTAGAAGAGAAATATGTATTGAACCCTTCTGCATTTTTATTAACAATTCTAGCATTTCCATCTAGTAATGGACTATACCATTGTTAGGATTACTTTTGTTCCTAATACTTTTTTTTAAACTCCTTCTTATTGTCCTTAACTCTGATGGTCATTGATTTCACCTTGAATCTTTTTGCTTCTCTGATCAATTTTCTACAATTGCAATCTCTTAATTTATATTTATCACTAAGGCTAAGATTTTGTCGGGGATATTTTTAGTAAGGGTATGTCTACACTCCCTGCCGGATCGGCGGGCAGCAATCGATCCAGTGGGGGTCGATTTATCGCGTCTAATCTAGACATGATAAATCGACCCCCAAGCGGTCTCCCATCAACTCCTGTACTCCACTGCCGCGAGAGGTGCAGGCGGAGTCGATGGGGGAGCGGCAGCAATTGACTCACCGTAGTGGAGATACCGCAGTAAGTAGGTCTAAGTACGTCAACTTCAGCTACGTTGTTCACATAGCTGAAGTTGTGTAACTTAGATCAATTCCCCTCCCTCGCCCGTCCCAGTGTAGACCAGGGCTAAAAGTCACGGACAGGTCACGGGCAAAACAGAAAAATTCATGGAAGCCATGAACTGTCCCTCACTTTTACTAAAATTATCCCTGACGAAATGGGGATCTGCGGATCCCCACCATATTTCAAGGGGGCAGCTGCAGCAAGACTAGGAGCTGCCTGTAGCAGCTGGGAGCTTGAGACTTCCCTCATTGCCTCCCTTTGGGAGCTCGGGGCCACCCACGGGGGCCAGGAGCTGCTGCAGCGGCAAGGAGCTCGGGGCTTCTCTCACTGCCTCCTGCTAGGAGCTCAGAATTCCCCACCACAGCACCACCCCTGATGACAGGGAGCTGGGGGGTTCTTCCACTAGGGGCTGGGGGGATTCCCACAGCTTCCTGCCTCACTCCTGTCCACTGTGGCTGAAGTCACTGAGGCTGCTGGAAGTCATGGATTCCATGACTAAATTGCAGCCTTATTCATCGCTATCAACTTCCTCATCCTTCCACTTGTTATATATTATTTTTATAGCTACTTTTATTTTGCCTCTAAACCAGGTCAGATTTTTTTAACCAGTGTAGCCTTCTTTCTTAGTTGTCATGTTTTGGGTATCTAGAAAAATATTCTTAGAATTTAAGCAGGAAAAAAAGTGAATGATTATTGGGAATTGTCTTTCTCCTAGTTGGTTTGGCTCATAATTGTCATAATTTTTTTCAGCTTTTTTGGAATTAGCCCTTTAAAACTAAGTGTGTATGGTTTGGAGCTGGTTACATTTGTTGTGTGCAAACAGAACAAAAGTCATGGTCATTTGCACCGAAGCAATCACTAATTTTTAGTTCTGTGATCAATCTCTGTATCTCTCTAGCTGAGATACAATATAGAATTCCTCCATGTTGAGTGCAACACTTTTTGAGTTGGGAAATTGTCATCTATACATTTTAGAAATTGAGGATATTTTAGTGCTGGCAGAATGAGATCTCCAGGATGCATCACTTAGAATGAAGCCCCTAATGATAACACAGCTTTTTTCCCCTTACACATAATACATAGGTGCTTAAAGAGCCAGTCATTCCTGTTCCCTCATATGATTTGGTGGTCTGTAGCAGACACCAGCTAGTATTCATCTTGTGCTTTACCTGGTAAACATTGAAGTGTTCAAGATCATTTGCTTCTGAGTTGTCTGCGACGCAAACAGATAATATCATTTATGACAGAATCCCTCTGTCCCTCCCATTTTGCCAACTTGATCCTTCCTAAAGAGGTTATAGCTTTTGATTTTAACATGCAAATCACCACTAGGTTTCAAGAATACCAATTTAGGTTACATAAGAATAGCCATACTGGATCAAACCAAAGGTCTGTCTAGCCCAGTATCCTGTCTTCTGACAGTGGCCAATGCCAGGTGCCCCAGAAGGAATAAACTGAACAGGTAATCATCTAGTGATCCATTCCCTGTCACCCATTCCCAGCTTCTGGCAAACAGAGGCTAGGGACACCATCCCTGCCCATCCTGGCTAATAGCCATTGATTGACCTATTCTCCATGAATTTATCTAGTTCTTTTTTAAACCCTGTAACAGTCTTGGCCTTCACAACATCCTTTGGAAAAGGGTTCCACAGGTTGACTGTGTTGTGTGAAGAAATACTTGTTTTAAACCTGCTGCCTATTAATTTCATTTGGTGTCCCCTAATTCTTGTGTTATGAGAGGAGTAAAAGTACTTCCTTATTTGCTTTCTCCGCACCAGTCATGATTTTATAGACCTCAATCATATCCATCCTTACTCGTCTCTTTTCCAAGCTGAAAAGTCCCAGTCTTATTAATCTCTCTTCATACAGAAGCCATTCCATACTCCTAATCCTTTTTGTTGCCCTTTTCTGAACCTTTTCCAATTCAAATATATCTTTTTTGAGATGGGGCGACCACATCTGCACACAGTATTCAAGATGTGGGCGTACCATGGATTTATATACAAGCAATATGATATTTTCTCTTATCATCTATCCCTTTCTTAATGATACCCAGCATTCTGTTCGCTTTTTTGTATATTGAGTGGATATTTTCAGAGAACTATCCCCAAAGAATCCAAGATCTCTTTCTTGAGTGGTAACAGCTCATTTAGACCCTATCATTTTATATGTATAGTTGGGATTATGTTTTCCAATGTGCATTACTTTAAATTTATCAAAATTGAATTTCGTCTGCTATTTTGTTGCCCAGTCACCCCGTTTTGAGAGATCCTTTTTTTAGCTCTTTGCAGTCTACCTGAGACTTAACTATCTTTAGTAGTTTTGTATCATCTTCAAATTTTGGCACCTCACTGTTTACCCCTTTTTCCAGATCATTTATGAATATGTTGAATAGGATTGGTCCCCAATACAGAGCCCTGGGGGATACCACTGGGTTGAATTTATGCTCATAAATAATCTATTTAAATTGCTCTTGCTAATTACTGAGGATCCTAGCATGGGTGGATAGGTAATTAAGAATTCATTATTAAGAATAAGAATTCTTAATTACCTATTCACCCATGCTAGGACCCTTCATCTTCTCTTGGTGCCTTGATTAATTTTATCAGCATCCTGATTTTGTTCCAAATGAATGGTCATTAGTTCCCCTTTTCATCCTCTCCTTTTGTTATTAGTTTATTGCTCTCCTGATTAATCCAGCAATCCTGGCCCCTACAACTTTGGAATGGGTTTTAAAAAGCAATTGAAAAAAGGAGATAGCAATTTTTATTAATTTGGATGGGAGTTTTTGCTCATGCTGGGGAGGATGAGTTGGGGGAGAGAGGACATGGAAGAAAGGTGCCTGAGGGAGAGGCATACAAGCATCTGATAAGCAATATTGGCAAAGTGAAGGTGTGGACTGACACCTTGCTAAACTAGTGGACAGGATAGGGTGGTGCTAAATGATGGAAGGCCTTAAAGACAAAGACAAGGAGTTTGTGTTCAGTGCAGTGAGGAGGATGAGCTCATTGGAGGCTGGTGATATGTGAGGATTGCTTAACTAGGATGATGATCCTAGCCGCAGCATTTCTGAATGGGCTTGCAGGAACAATGTAGTCGGCATCAAGGTAAAAAAGAATGAGATAAATATTTGAGGGATGAGATGGTGAGAGCTGGAACAAAGGCCCTGGCAGGCTCCATAGTAAGAAAAGTTTGAATATTACAAATATTATATAGGTAGAAACAGCAAATAGTTGATACAGTCTGTATAGGGGTGTAGAGAGAGGCCCAAATCTAAGATGGTGCCCAGACTATACCCCTGAATGCCTATGAAAATCCGCAAAGACAGAGAAATTGGGGGAGAAGGGAAGATCACTTTATGTGGTTGACAGTGATCTGGTTTTTGTATTGTAGACTGTATTTGGGGCAGGCATACTGGCAGAGTTTAGTCAACCATGACAGAGAGCCTGGCTGGTTCTGTTTCCTTTGTCACATTCTTGGTCAGGCTACAAATGTTTGAGGGGGCGGCAGAGGCTATCTACTGAACCATCAGAAGTGTCTCACATCACTGATCTCTGCAGTTTATTAAGGAGCAGCGCTGATAACATCCAAGGGAAACTCTGTCTTCTTTAGGTGTAAAAATGGTGACTGAGATGTGAGTGGTAGATTGGGGTGGGCAGGGGAATCAGACTGATTGATTTAGGACTTGCTTAGGGTTAGGGTTATTTGAAGGGTCTTGTGATTTTGAAGTTATGTTTCTTTCTAAAGTCATCATAATATTTGCTTTATACACAAAGTATTAAATATCTTTTAATAGCAATATGCCTAATTAAAAACAAGCATGTATTATGTTGCAAAACGTCTATGGTATTTTATAATTGATGACACCTGTGTTCCATTCTGCAAGCAGCGAATCATTAGAACTCATTCATTGTAGCTATCTTTTACATTAGGAGTAATAGACATTTGAGAGTCAGAACCATGACCAGAATTACACTGGGAGTACTATCCGTATCTATAAACATACTTAAATGGGTTGAGGAAGGAAGATAATTAGGGCAGATCCCAGCCTGCACAAAGGGGTCTTGTAGCTTCCTTAAGCAGTTGACTGAGGATTTCTCTGGTGTTGTGTGGGGGGGGAACCTCAGCTAGTATAGGGGACATACTAGGGTTATACATAATGTGCTGCAGTGATCCGTAGGAGCTAGTTACAAGTTGGTGCAACTTGAAGCTTCAACCTTTGTTCACACATCCCTGTGTCCAACGAGATGTGCTAAATGCAGCTCCTGAGCATGTATGGATAATCAAGAACTGGAACCTGATTCCTTTTGGGATTTTATACAGGAAACCATTAAGATGCTTTTTTGGGAGGAATTTATAGTCAACAATACACTAATAGCGATAGGTTTTTATATTCGGTGACACCTTCCCAAACCTCATTCTTATTTAGAGACTTATCCTCTAATCTCCTAAGTCTTTCTTTATATTGACTGTTTCAACATAACAAGCTGTTCTCAAGATATTCATCCCCAAATATAAACCTTTCTTTAGCTAATTTGGGTCATATTGTGCCATAATTGCCACTTAATTCAGGACACTTTTTGTGAAAAACAATGCTGTAGGCTGAATTTTTCTTCATACTGTGATTTTTTCAGAGCTTAGGCATTCTTTCAGTGGGCATGTCTGCACTGTAATTGAGGTATGGTTGTAGCTCAGGCAGACATAGCTACTAAATAGCGTAGATGCAGTGGCATGGACTGTGCATGCATGCTGAGGACCCTGGGTCTGTATTCACGTCACTCACCTCCACTGAAGCCCATGTCCCCACATCTGCACTACTATGCCAGTGTGGGTGTGTGTACCCAAGCTAAATATATTAGAATATGACCATTTGTGTATATAATCCCACAGTTTGGATTCTCTGACAATAACATGTTCAAATCTTTTTTGTCAGTAGATCAGATACTTTTGCTTTTGTTTTGCCATAAGATCATAATAGTCTTCTATGCAGAGAGACCAACTCTTTTTAAAAAGTGGTCGGAATTTTTTTTCCCATCTATCTATGGCTTCCCTACAGAAGTGGGCTTTCTGTTGAGTAACGGTAGAAGTGCTGCCTTATCTTATAGCTTGTAAGTGCTCCACTGACATTTTTGCCTCCTTAAAAAGCTGTGCTATTCTGATCATATCAGCTGTTAGCAAATGCTGAATGAGCTTCGTTTTATCTTTAGTGGTCTAATGACAAGTACTGAATGTGAAATATTCCAGTTCAATTTTGCAGCCAGTTGTTCAGGAAACCAAGAAAAAGTTTTTCATTCTCAAATATTTTAAAATATTCTCTTTTACATTTTGAAGAGGCCCAGTTCCCAAATTGAACCATCATTTTCTGACTTACATCTCTAATTTCTTTAGAAAACTAGACTTAACAAAAATATCACAAATAGTCCTGTATTTTCAGTTCAGGGTTGGATTTCAATTCAAGGAAGTTTTCCAAAATGGAAAAACATTTCCAAATTTAATTAGGATTAAATGAATTCTGAACATGTTAAAAAGACAGAGCTGGACTGGACTTGCTGAAAACTTTTAATCAGTAATTCCAGTGCTAATTACTCACACCTTTCTCTCTTAATACCTATAATACTTTAAATGAGTCAAACTACTTGTCCTTGAACCTGTCTTCCCAATTGGCAGCCCTTTAATGAAGCAGAGTATCATGACATTTTTATTATGTGTAGTGCACTAAATCATAATGTATGTGTAGTAGTATATACATGCTTAGATGAAATAGGATCACAAAACCCAGTATGTTTTATCATCCATTTTTCAGATACTGAACAGAAAATAACCTATACATCGCAATATGCTGGTGACAATGTGAATGAAATCAAAGCTTTCAACGGTTACCTTTCTAACAGGAGAATGCCTGTTATCAATACATAAAGTTACTTATCTTTTGTAGTCTTATGGCAATAAGCAAACAGTGTATTTCATCCATAGGTGTCACGTGGCAAACAAAACTTGTCCAAAGAATCTTATCTGGAATAATCAGATTTGCAGATGTCTGGTGCAGCATGACTTCAGTTTCTCTTCCCATCATGGAGATACTGGTAAGCAGTTATGTGTTATAGGATTAAATGTAGTTGTTCTGTGCTGATTTACAGAAAAAGAAAACAATAAACCATGAAAATTAAACAGTTTGAATCTTTTTAATTCTTTGTAATTGGTTGTTTACAGAATGGCATTTTAGATAAGTAAAATGCATCCTCAGGGTGGGATTATATTTTCACCATTTTAAAATAGGATTAATCATAATTCCTTAATAAAAAAAATGTGAAATACACAGATGGGTTCTCCATTTTTAGTAATGTGTGGATTCAGATTTTTTAATGTTTGCTGTATTTCTAGACACTGCTGACGAATTCCATGATATCTGTGGACCTAACAAAGAGCTTGACGAAGAAACCTGTCAATGTGTCTGCAAAGGGGGTGTACGGCCTTCAAGCTGTGGACCCCAAAAAGAATTAGATAGAACATCGTGCCAGTGTACATGTAAAAACAAACTTTTGCCTAGTTCTTGTGGTCCCAACAAAGAATTTGATGAAGATAAGTGCCAGTGTGTATGTAAAAGAACCTGCCCTAAATATCAGCCACTAAATTCTGCAAAATGTATCTGTGAATGTATAGAATCTCCAAATAAATGCTTCTTAAAAGGAAAAAGGTTTCATCACCAGACATGCAGGTGAGTTAAATGACTAAAAGATTCTGTAATCTAATTGTTATAGCACTGGACAGAGACTAAAAATGTTGGGTTACCTTTGCCATGGGATTACTTTATGACCAAGAGCTTTATGATTTGCCTATCTGTAAAAGGACAGTCTGAGGCTTAATGAGTATTTGAAAACCACACTGAGGTTCTTGGATCCTATAGATAGTCACTGTGATTTCAGGTCGAGGAAAACAACACAAATCAGACGTCAAGAATTAGAACATTCAAAAACCAGTCGGAGAACACTTCAATCTCTTTGGTTGATTACAGACCTAAAAGACTTGATTACAGACCTAAAAGTTGCAGTTTCCACGGTATGCATCCGATGAAGTGAGCTGTAGCTCACGAAAGCTCATGCTCAAATAAATTGGTTAGTCTCTAAGGTGCCACAAGTACTCCTTTTCTTTTTGCGAATACAGACTAACGCGGCTGTTACTCTGAGACCTAAAAGTGGCAATTCTTCAACAAAAAAACTTCAAAAACAGACTCCAAGGAGAGCCTGCTGAATTGGAATTAATTTGCAAACTGCATACAAATTAATTTAGGCTTGAATAAAGACTGGGAGGGGATGTGTCATTACACAAAGTAAAACTATTTCCCCTCCTACTGTTCTTGTAAAGTGCTGGAAATGGCCTACCTTGATTAGCACTACAAAAGGTGCCCCCCCCCCGCTCTCCTGCTGGTAATAGCTCACCTTTCCTGATCACTCTTGTTACAGTCTGTATGGTAACACCCATTGTTTCATGTTCTCTGTGTATATAAAATCTCCCCACTATATTTTCTACTGTATGCATTTGATGAAGTGAGCTGTAGCTCACGAAAGCTTATGCTCTAATAAATTTGTTAGTTTCTAAGGTGCCACAAGTCCTCCTTTTCTTTTTACAGATACAGACTAACACAGCTGCTACTCTGAAACCTAACATAAATTTACACTCTTTTAGTAGGTCTTTTGGCTGAGACATAGTATAAAACCAAATTCTAGACTATTTGTGGTTCTTAAAAATCCCAGTGTACTTTTCACTAGCCAATATCCAAACTAACTGTCCAAATTATCCTTTAAAATGGGATTCTGGTCAGCAAGCAGACTAAGTTTGATAATGTTCATATTGCATACAAGATGTTTCTCATAGCTAGCAGTGTAATCGAAGCCACTCAATTTGGAAATATTTCACAATTCTGAAAATCAATTTTTCTTCTGCTTCCTACACCATCACTATGAAATTAAAATGCAGTAATCTGTCACATAATTTTGTTGAGGTAATTATTATATGTATACATAAGGCACCTGTCACTATCATATCTTGTTTGGCTGCTTTGCTGAAACACTATTAATTCTGCAATGTTGAAAACAGTGAAGTCTTGTTTTTTAAGTAAAGCTAAGCAGACAATACTGCTTGGAGAAACAAGATCACTGAGTTCATTGATAGTAGTAATAATAGTAAATATTCATAGTATGAGATACATATTTGTTCAATTACCTAAAACCATTGAAATGGTTACAAAATAAACATTTTAATTTATTTATAAATATTCTGGCAGCACCTAAAGGGCCCCAGACAGGACTGATGGACATAGAATAGAATATGGATCCTGCCCTAAAGATTTTAATATCTAAAATGACAAGACACACAATCAAATATAGACAAACTATATCAAAATACAGCTCACATAGTACATCTCTCCTCCCTCCATTGTATGTTCAGCAACAGCTCCTGGCCACTCCTCGTACCTGACTTAATAGGAAATAAGGGCAATTACCACCAGGCATTTGGCACCTGGAAGGATGGGGGCTACAAAGAGGTCATCAGTGTCTAGTTTAAATTCCTTCTGGGGTGCAGTGCAAATTACACTTTGAGTTTTGGTCCATGCACCACAGGAATAAAGTTCACTGGTAAGAGACACATTTAGTGATCTTCTCCAACCACAGAATGTGCCTCTTTAGTGGTGTTATGCACCAGAAAACAACATTAACAGAATATTAAGGTTGCAGAGTCAAGCGCTCAAAAGTTAGGAAATGCCAGAATTAAGTTTGCCTGTGTAACCCCCTTGTGCATGTGCATTATGATACGGTCTTTAATTGTAGAGTCATATACTGTATTTTCCAGAGGACTCCTGCCTTCTTCAGTCCACTGGTGCTCAATTCATGAGAAGCTATTCAATATTTTGTTTTCTCCTCATTGTTCAGTGTTTGGTCTAGTGCCTTATTTACTGCACACCATTCAAACCCTGCTCTGAAAACAGTTATTCACTTCCTCATGTGCTTGTCTATGGTGTTCTTCTCTATAGTATCCTACTGCTTCACAAACAATTTATCTTCACAACATTTCTGAAAGGAGAGGAGGGGGAGGTAATATCCCCACACTGTCAGTGTCCCAATTACCAGTCCCTCTCCCTCCACATCTGCAGTCTTAGGGGCCTTGCCCAGCCAGTCCCAGTTCCTCACTCCTGGCTCCTCCACCTGACATTTCTTTCCCCACCTCCCCTCCCTGGCCCAGTCTTTGTCCTGTCAGTCCCAGTTCTCCCCGCTACACCTCACCACTCTTTGACACATCTGTCTTCCTTCCCCTCACCCAATCTCAGTGTTCCCCCAGCCAACTGACTCCCAGTGTTTCCCTTCCCAGCTCTCAGTGTCCCCACAAGCTCCCAGTTCCTAATCTGCCTCTTTGCCCAATGAGTCCTATTTGCAGCCTCAACTCCCAGCTCCCAACTCCTTGCCAACTCAGTCCCAGCCTGCCTCCCCCTCTCCAGTCACAATGGATTCCTTGTCCCAATTTACTCCTTTCCCTTCCCCCGCTTCAGCTTTGGGACCCCTCTGCACTTTAACTAGACTGCCGCCTCCTCCTCCATGCTGCCTGGGTACAGGAGAGTTGCGCTTCCTTCTCTTAATTCCACACCCTAGGCCCAAGCCCCCAGCTCAGAGAAGCTGGAAGCAGCATTTACAGGGAAAGTCTGGTTTTGCCCTTGTAAAATGTAGGCTGGAGCAGGCCTGGTCACTCTGTAGGGATGGCAGCACATTGATAAGTAGTAAAAGGACCAAACATGCTCCATGAGGACAGAATCTTCTGAGATTTTAGTTGTTCTGTTTTGGCAAGACTCTATTGAGCATGTGACCGACTGACATAGCTGTGTTGGCCTAACTTTTAAGTGTAGACCAGGCCTAATGTCAGATTGAGGGCAGGGAGATCTGTGGGCCACATGAAAGCATACAGACAGCAGTATCCAGCCTGTGTGACAGCCCTTATCTACTATTTTTTTTATTTGTTATCCAACTGCTTTGCTAGGGTTAGGCATCCTGGGAAATTATCCAAATAGCTAAGGTTTTTGGCTTTGCCTTAAAGATCAGTGCCTCAGATGGTATAGCCTTCTAGGGGGAATTTAGACAAACGCTTTGAAATCTTTAAATGAAAGGCACTATAGAAGCACAAAACATCATTGTAACATGCAGCTCAGAAACAAATTCTACATCCACTCCACCCCCATTTTTGTATCCACAGAAGATTAATTTTCCCAGTCCAAACTTACTCCTGGTTTTTTTTTGGGGGGGGAGGGGGCTGGCACAGATCGTGTTACACCCTTCAGTGATGGCATACAGGAGGATAGGTGCATTTCTATCAAATACCCACATTATTTTGGTTAGGGGCTCTGCCTCTTTCTTGCTTCAGCATCCTCAACACCTTTCCAACACTAGCACCCCCACCCCAAACTGCAGGTGTTATATATTTTACAAAATGTTTAGCATTAGGCAAAAGGATCAACTTGATCTTTAAGAGAAATTCCATGAAAGTTGTTAAATTTATCCGAGATAGGACAAACTCTAGAGCTAAGTGACATGATAGAACACAAACCTCGGCATTACATAAAACATGCTAATGAATTAGACCACTGTAACAAATTACACTGAAAGCTCTGAACAAGATATGGCTAGTCAATAACTACCATTACTGCTGTGTCTTCCTCATTCTTTACTGATTTCTTCGTATTCGTGTTCATTGGTGTAATTAATTGGCTTGCATTAATGTAACTGTAATCCAAGATCTCATTTTATAAACACATTACTGTAAAGTGGCAAAAATAAGCATGCAATGTGCTAAACCATCTGCAATGATAATTAGAGTATGCATAGTCTAAAAACAGAAAAAATTGCCTGGGGAAGAGAATATTAAAAGTACCTCAATACTATATTGTGTAGTATCTGTAAACAGAAATATATAGCAAGAATTATTACAATAGAACATCATTATACCAGTATGTTTCATAAAACAGAGACACATTATTTAAAGACAAGTTTAAAATATAACTGTTGAAACTTGAAACATATACTTTTCTCTCTTGAGTCACTGCCAATGTCTGAAAAAGCCACAGACTAGTACTTTGTCTCCATTACACACCAGAGGTTATTTGGCATTGTTATTGTAAGGTTATTTTAGGTCAAGCTTTTAAAAAAAATGAGGTGGGGGGAGAGCAGCCAAGGAATTAGGAAGCCAAGGAATTAGCTTTGTACGACTCCTTGTACAAGCAAATATGCACTAATGAGGAACATCTTGTTTATAGATGTAATCTGTCATTTAATGATCTATTTGCATTAAAGTTATTTCAGTTAGTAATATTGTTATTGGTACCCTTTCTTCTTCTTTAAAATTTACCATATACATATGGGCCTGGATCCTACAATAAAAATCACATGGTGCAATTCAGCAAACAGACTCCCACTGAACCCACTGGGGATCTGTGGAAGTATACGGGTTTCCCCTGTGCTGTTCTCAGCGCAGGATCAGGGTCATAGTATAGAAAAATCCATCTTTTTCTATTACGCAAATGGCTGGTAAATATACAGAAAAAAGTAAAGCATTCTGGCCTGTAACATCAGCTCGTTAGGGAATGCTGGCTCAAGCTAGGAGACATTCAGTAGTGGCATACTAAACAGGGTTGCCTACTAGAAAAAAATGTTAGAAGTATTTGCCAGAATAATATACCAATGTATACGCTAGCTTAGAACGTAATTAGAGCTGGGTAAGTATTTCAAAAGAGTATTAATGAATATTATTCATTTGAATAAAACCACAGAGTCACCTCAGCAGTATTCGTAACCCCATTTATTTGATTTTTCATTGCAAGTTAGTTCAGAGCAATGAAAGAGGAGGAATATTCATGCACATACGTAATACTCAGGCCTATCTCCAATAAAATACATCTTTATAGGATTTAAGTGTTCTCTAGCATAAGTGCAGCGTAAGTGTACACAGTCAGACGTATATTTCGCTTTGATTTATGCGCCTGCCCCCTTTTACCAACAACTTTTTTTTTCTTCCTCCAGTTGCTACAGACCACCATGTACAGTTAGAACGAAACGCTGTGAGCCTGGATTTTATTATAGTGAAGAAGTGTGCCGCTGCGTACCCACATATTGGAAAAGACCACTTATTAATTAGTGAAGAAAGCACTCCTTGCCATTTTGGTGTACATTTCTCCATTAAAAAAACAACTGTGTTAACATTGGAATTAACTGTGCACCAGAGATCCTGTGGGAGTCACAGAGACAGACACATTGTGCTTTTTCCCCCCAAGAAATATGGAAAGCACATGTAGACAATAATGGGGCTCATGTTGTGTAAAGAACTCACTAAGGACTTGTTTTTCTGCCAATGACCAAACAGCCTTGGTTTTCCTCCTTGTGATTTTTTTAAAAAGAGATAATGACTATATAATTTATTGCCACTAAAAACTTTGTGCAGCATTCCTGTTTATAGCAGTAACAATTGTTAAAGCTCACTGTGATCAATATTTTTATATCATGCAAAATATGTTTAAATAAAATGAAAATTGTATTATATACTGGTGAGAATGTTCAATTGATTATTTTATGACCCAGTCTGTACAAACCAACCACAGCTCAACAACATGAATGGTGGTTCTTAAAATAGTTTCTGGAAATCCAGAGCTAGAATTCCTATCCAATAAAAATAAGTGATTTTATGAAAGTAAGTATAAGTGAGACAGCAGTGAACTTTTTGTATCTGGTTAAAATATCTAGGCTGAGCTATTAAAAAAAAAGTTATATTTACAACATCTATGTCCAATAATATTTTACTATTTAGACAAACTAGCTAAGCATGGGAGATATTTCATAAAAACTATTATGAGTTCTCTCTATTGCACAGGAACAAAGCTTGTTCAAAGGAGAGCAGCAGCTATTAATAGTCACATACATGTATGCCGATATATATTCAAAATATTTTATATGGTAAGTGTTCATGCAGGTATAATAAATAATTAAAATCTAACTAAACATATTTACATATGGAAATATGAATTATGCTGTTTTATTTAGTTGTAAAGATTGTGCCCTAAAATTCAAAACAAAATAGTTTTAAATTATTTGATGTTTTACTATTTCATATGGTAAGTCAAATGATTGTGATCTAAAGTATCTTGTATGCCAGATGCTTTTAAGAGAAAATAATGTATTTTTCTTTCCACTGGGCACCAGAAAAGACTTCCAACAAGCCAGTCTGGATTTACAAGATAATCTCTGTACAAACAATTGTTACAGAGTATTTTTACATGGAGAGTCTCCAGTCTAACATCTACAAACTCTAGAAAAAGAGGTAAGCTTTTAAATTGGATAGAATAAAAATATGAATGAGATTGTCTAATAGTAATCAAGGAATCATTTCATTTCCACTTCCAGTTGTGCATGCACTCAATATGTCTGAGATAGGGAAGTTTTCACTAGTAGCACCTGCTAGCTTGCATATGAGGCCCTACCCTACCTCATGCTCCCTAGTGAGGGTATAAAGGGTGCTCGTGGTCAACTGCCACTCCAGTTCCTTCTCTACCACTTAACTTTGAAAAAGGGTCTCTGAGCAGAGGAAAGTAGGGCAGGTATATACATATGAATATACATATGGACAACTCAAGTTACTCTACAAGGTAAGCAACTTCTTTCTTCAGGTGTTTGTTCTTATGCAAATTCCACTTCTGGTGACTTCTAAGCAATAATTTCAGTCAGGAGTTGGGTGCTTGGAGTACCCATAGCAGCATCTGAAGCAGATGCTTGTACTCATGTATAGAGCTGAGTGAAGGTGTTCATAGAACCTTATGTTGCATCTTTGCAGATAGCCAGGATGGAGAAGTTATTGAGCACAGCCACAGATGTTCTCTGGACTCTTTTTGAATGTGTCCCCACAGGAACTGAAACCTTATTTGGTTATGCATCCTGAGGTCCATTTTGGACAGTCTTTGGGTAGAAACAGCATTACCTTTCATTAAAGTGAAAGTTTGGGAGACCGTCTGAACAGTTTAGCCTTGTCTATATAGAAAGTCAGTGCTCTTCATACATCTAACAAGTACAGCTTAAATTCTTGTCTGCTGTTATGTGATTTTTTTGGATAAAACGCAGGAAGATGAATGACCTGATTCAAACAGAACCCAAAGACAACCTTCAGAATGAACTTAGGGTTGAGCCTCAAGGACACTTTATCATGATGAAAGACAGTATATGGTGGATCTGCCATGAGACCTCCCAACACTCCGATTCTTTTGGCCAGAAGTACAGCTACCAAGAATGTGACTTTCATTCACAGGTGGGATAAGGAACAATAGGCTAGAGGCTCAAAAGGGGGATTCATTAAAGGTTGACAGCACTAAGTTGAGATCCCATGATGTTGTTAAATGAGATACCAATGGAAAACACACAGATAAGACCCTATAGAAATTGTGCTGAGACCAGGTGTGTAAATATGGTAGTGTTGTCTACTGGAGGATGGATGACATTGATAGCCACAAGACAAACGTGGATGGAACTGGGGGATAGACCGGAGGTCTTCAGCAATAAGATGCACTCTAATATGGCATGGATTCCTGCTTGCATCAATTCTGGCTGGCTGGTGTTGTTTGAATCATATGACATAGCGCTTTCACTTGGCACTCTAGCATTTTCTAGGCATGTCCTTCCTGATCCACGTTAGGATGGACTGTACTCCATGTGATCGTGCTCCTTCTAGCTCTCACATTATCCAAACACCAGACAGGTGTTTGGGATGGTGAGTCATTCCTCTGTCCTTAGTCAACAGATCAATGGACAGGGCGAGCAAACAGATTGCTGATGTAACAGAGGGAACAGGAACTATCTGGATCATGTTGGTGCTACTAAGATAACTCTCGCCTCATTCTGTTTAATTTTGTTCAGAACTGTGAGCAGCAAGGGGATTGGAGGAAACCTACATAAGGTGTTGACACCATGAAATCAGGAACGTCTCCTAACAAATTCAGGCATAAGAAGAAAACAAGCACAGCCATACTGGATCAGATTAATGGTCCATCTAGCCCAATATCCTGTCTTCCAACAGTGGCCAATGCCAAGTGCTTCAGGGGGAATGAACAAAACAGGCAATCATCAAGTGATCCATGCCATGTTGGCCACTCCCAGCTTCTGGCAGTAGAGGCTAGGGACCCGGAGCATGTGGTTGTATCCCTGACCATCTTGGCTAGTAGCCATTGATGCACCTATCCTCCATGAACTTATCTAATTCTTTTTTGAACCCTGTAATAGTATTGGTCTTCACAACATCCCCTGGCACCGAGTTCCACAGGTTGACTGTGCATTGTGTGAATTCCTTTTGTTTGTTTTAAACCTCCTGCCTATTAATTTCGTTGGATGAACCCTGGTTCTTGTGTTATGTGAAGGAGTAAATAATATTTCCTTTTTCAGTTTCTCCATGCCATTCATGATTTTATAGCCCTCTATTATATCCCCCTTAGTCATCTCTTTTCCAAGGTGAACCAGTCCCAGTCTTTTTAAAATCTCTCCTCATACGGAAGCTGTTCTATAGCCTTAATTTTTGTTGCCCCTCCCTGTGTCTTTTCTGAGATGGGACAACGAGAACTGCATGTAGTATTCAAGATGTGGGCATTATGATATTTTCTGTCATATTCGCTATCCCTTTCCCAATGGTTCCTAACATTGTTAGCTTTTTTTGACTGCTGCTGCTGCATACTGAGCAGATGGTTTTTAGAGAACTATCCACAATGATTCCAAGATTGTTCTTCAGTGGTAACAGCTAATTTAGGTCCTATCATTTTGTATGTATAGTTGGGATTGTTTTCCAAGGGGCATTATTTTGCATTTATCAACATTGAATCATGAAGTGAGCTGTAAATCACGAAAGCTTATGCTCAAATAAATTTGTTAGTGTCCAAGATGCCACAATACTCCTTTTCTTTTTACGGATACAGACTAATATGGCTGCTACTCTGAAATCTGCCATTTTGTTACCCAGTTTTGTGATCCCTTTGTAATGCTTCACAGTCTGCTTTGGATTTCACTATCTTGAGTAATTTTGTATTGTCGGAAAATGTTGCCACCTCTCTGTCTACCCCTTGACCATTCCTGGACCCTATCTTTGGCACCTATTGTTTGGGCTCAATGCTATCACCAGAAGACTCCCACTGATTGAATTTGAGTTGAGTCATGTTGTCCTGTAGCTCCCACTTACGATCCTTGTAAAAATGTCTGCAGCACAGCTGATGTCTGTGAATGCAGTTATGTAAGTACCTGACATCATGTGACTCAGTACGGCAAGGTAAGCCGATACTAATGTTTGAGGGGTTAGCTGAAGTTGACTGATTAATTGTAAAATGTCTCAGTCTCTCTACAGGTAAGAGAGGGTTACTCACCATGTGCAGTAACTGAGGTTCTTCGAGATGTGTCCCCCTGTGGGTTCCCCACTTCAGGTGCAAGAGCTCCCTGCGCTGTTGATAGGAGTTTTTGGTAGCAGTGCTTGGTCAGGACACGCATGCACAGCAGTCATCTCACGGTGCTGTTGGCACCTCATCTAGCACACGCACGACCTGAGCCCTTCAGTTCCTTCTCAACTGTTCTCTGCCTGAGACAGAGCTCTTTCTCCTACCTAGAAAAATATTATAATAGAAATGCTTTAGTAAGTTTTCATTCAGTTAGTCTTAGTCTCTGATCAACGTCCCAAGGACACACAGACACCTAAAATGGAGCATCTCCAATAACATCACTTGAAGTAGTATGCCCTTGCAGTGATTGAATCCGGTCTCAATTCAATGAATTCCATCTTCTGTGTCAGGGCTAAAATGGACTTTTGCTATGTTTAATCTGAGGCTGAGATGTTGAAAGATACCTCACCATGTGTGTGTGGCCTCTTGTATGCTCTGGTATGATTGACCTTTGATGAGCCAGTTGTCCAGATAAGCAAGACTGCAATGCCCTGAGCTCATAGATGGGCTACCACAACCATTTACTCCTTTATGAATACTCTCAGTGCTGTCAATAGTCTGAACGGAAGCATCCTGTATTGATGATGGTCTATACCTATGACAAACCTCAGGAATCTCCTGTGTGTTGAATGAATGTCTTTTATGAAAATTTTCAGAGTAACAGCTGTGTTAGTCTGTATTCGCAAAAAGAAAAGGAGTACTTGTGGCACCTTAGAGACTAACCAATTTATTTGAGCATGAGCTTTCGTGAGCATCCGATGAAGTGAGCTGTAGCTCACGAAAGCTCATGCTCAGATAAATTGGTTAGTCTTTAAGGTGCCACAATACTCCTTTTCTTTTTATGAAAATAGCATTTTTGAGATCAAGAGTTGTAAACCAGTTGCCTTGATCCCGGGATGGGATTATTGCAGAGTGGGTGACCATCCTGAACTTCAGATTTTGAATGTAGGCGTTTAGTAGCCTTAGGTCCAGGATAAGCCTTTTGTCTTTGGGATGAGGAACTGTCTTGAACAGAAGCCTCTCTAGATGTGCCGAGTGGGGACTGGTTCTGTAGCTCCTGGGTCTGGAAGTGATTCCACCTTTTGT